AGTCGTTGACATAAGAGAGATATTAAGGGGTGTAGGAAGGATTTGATTATGACCAATTTGGTCTTTCCTGCTGTTACGCGGGTATGAGGGCGGTTGTCATTTCCCGGCTGCCCACACCGTGGAAGGTTGTGAATTGAGGGACCTGAAAAAGAAGGTAGATTAGTGTTGCCCTTCGAGACCTCGGAGCGTGACCGCACAGTCCAAGGGACAACTGCTTGAGGCCGGTCAGTCAGTCAGTCAGTCAGATGCAACGTAGAACTTTGTACATAAGTACATCAGTTCATGTTGCCATACCACATCAGCACAGAGAGGTAATCGTCAATTCAAATCCAATAGTAGAAGAGGTAGTAAGGGAATTAGAAATAATCGGAGGTTAGGATTAGAAGATACTATTCAAGAAGTATGATTCAGTGAGAAAAGTTTAGAGAGTCGAAACTAGAGGGGTTGAAGAATCCAGAAGATTAGCATTTGAGAGAACACAGAGAATAAATGCACCGGCGCCATTGCGAGCGATTCTGAGCCATGTCATTCAAGGTCTCTAACCATCGATTATTATCATCTCGCGGACCCCAACCAGGTAGTCGACAATTACCGACATGGCTCAGTCCACTAGTCAATGACTTCATGGATTTCTGCCATGTTTTGGTTTGGCCGCCCCTAACTTTCTTCCAACCTATTCCCACACTACAAAACAAGGCTCGACGAGGCAGTCGGTGGTTCGGCATACGCAACACATGTCCCAACCACCTCAACTGATGAAGTTTCAGCACTTCATCTATTGATCTGCCATTCTTACCTAGCACCCGTTTCCTAATAACAGCGTTGCTCACTCGGGTGTCCCACGATATACGAGCAATGCTTCGAAGACACCTATGATCGAAAACCAGTAACCTACGAATATCTTCTACTCTCATTGGCCATGTTTCACAGCCATAAAGTAAGACGGAGCGAACTACTGCGCAGTACACTCGTCCTTTAGTCAGCAAACGGATATCTCGCCTACGCCATAAGTGACGCAGGTTGGCAAAAGCCAATCGAGCCTTCTGTATCCGTGCTGAGATTTCGTCAGTCACCAGGCCATCGGCACTGATGAGACTCCCAAGATAAGTGAAGCGGTCTACACGTTCGACTACTTCACTCCCTATCACTAGTTCAGGTGCCGATGCAACCCAGTCTTGAAGCAACATTTTGCATTTCGAGGGGGAAAACCGCATCCCGAACATGCTTGCATTGTTGCTTAGGGTAGTCAGAAGACTCTGCATTTTTTCAGCGTCTTCACCAAGTAGGACAATGTCATCGGCATATTCTAAGTCAATAAGCGAGCCATCTGGTAGAAGGTCTACTCCTGAAAATTCAGACGAGGATAATGTTAACTCTAGGAGCATGTCTATGATAAAATTAAACAAGAATGGAGAAAGTGGACATCCCTGACGGACACCACTTGATGTAGAGAATTCCGGTGACAGTTCGCCATAAGCCCTCACCCGACCAGTGGTGTTCGAGTAAAGAGCTTGTATAAGGTTAATGTACTTCTGTGGTACACCTTTCAATGACAGACACTGCCACAGAACCTTACGATCAACAGAGTCAAATGCCGCCTTAAGGTCTAGGAAAACAACTATTGTAGGACGCCTAAATGTATGTCTATGTTCCAGGACCTGTCGTAGTGTGAAAATGTGGTCTATACAGCCACGTCCAGGTCGAAAACCAGCCTGGTTTTCTCGAGTCTGCTCTTCACGAGCTTTCGTTAAGCGTCGAAGTATTATTGAGGCCAATATTTTAGATACTATATTAGTTAGACTTATTCCCCTGTGATTGTCACAAGAAGACTTCTGTCCTTTCTTATAGATTGGGACAATCAAGGATTGAGACCAGTCGGATGGGATTACGTCCAGTTCCCAGATTCTACCTAAGATCTCAGTCAACCTAGCTGCTAAAACTGGACCACCATCCTTAAATATCTCAGGGGTCAGTCTATCAGGACCTGCAGCTCGTCCTCGTTTCAGATTTCCTAACGCTTTCTCAACGTCATTAAGACTAGGGGGATTTACGTCGATTTGCCATTCAGGATGACTGGAGATCGTGGGTAACTGAAGAGTGGCTCGTGGCCAGTTGAACTGATCCCTAAAGTGTTCTGCCCATCGATCCAGTCTCCTGGATTGAGAATGGATAATAAGACCATCCTTTTCCGAGATAGTCTCACTCACATTCGGGTTCTTAATACCGGTTTCTTTAATAAGGCGGAAAAGCTGCCTAGTGTTGCCTATCGCCGCTGCCTTTTCCATCGCTTTTGCTTTCGCCACCCACCACTGTTCGCGGTCGTTACGCAGACTTTTTATAAGTCTGCGCCTAAGCTGACTACGCTCTTCATCATGCTCAGAGTCAGGTGGGATGCGTTTTCGAGCATCCATCAGTTCGGTGGATGCGACTGAAATCCACGGCTTCATCCTAGCCTCATGGTTTACCTTACTAGCAGATATCACTGCTGTTTCCACAGCCTTTTTGATATCATACCAACCTGTTTCTGGATGGGAATCGCTTGCATGGTTGCTTAACTCTCTTTCTAGTTGCTCCTGAAATATTTTCTTGGTTTGATTATCATTAAGCAAAACCCTAAGAGGCTTCCTTACGGTGTCTTTCCTACGTCCAGTAAGCCTTAAACAGATACGAGCTCGCACTAGAGCATGATCTGAATCCAAACATGTGCTCCAGAACGAGCGACAGTCTTCTATCGAACCCCTCCATCGGTGGCTGATGGCGATGTGATCTAGTTGAGTCCAACGTTGAGACGACTTTGGAGGTCGCCAGGTCAACAGATGCTTTTCCTTATGCCTAAAGTTGGTGTTCGCTAAGAATAGGCGGTTATCTGAGCATAGTTGCAACAGACGGTCGCCATTGTCTGTTCTCTCAGTCGCTACACCATAACATCCACCAAGATGTCTTTCCTTTTCACCTAGTCTACCTACTTGAGCATTAAAGTCACCAGCCATTATTACTATGTCAGAGCGCTTAGCTTTTTGGAGGAGGTCTGAAAGCTTTCTGTAAAACTCATCTTTAACCTCGTCTGCACTGCAGTCAGTGGGGGCATAGGCAGATATGACGAAGAGGCAACGGCGAGTGTCCCTATCCTTACGAGTCCTTACTGTCCCGTTTAGTCGGACAGCGCACAAACGACTATCTACTGGGATCCAGTCTAGGAGAGATAATTCTGCCCTAGGACTCAACGCTATGCCTACGCCAGCAAGACCCCTGGAAGCAGCATCAGGGCTACCGGATACCCGAAGAGTAAATCGAGCTGCTTCTTCGTTTTGATAAGGTGGAATCAGGTTAATGACTTTACTAGGATCCTGTATGCGCGTTTCCGAGACGCAGCATACATCGATGGCACGAGTTTCTAAAGTCCTAGCTAATGATGCCTGTTGCCCTATTTGACACAATGTCCGTACATTAAAAGCTCCAATATGTAGTCTAGAACGGGGTTTCAAGAGACCAGGAACGACCTTTCGTGATCTCGCTTCGTCTGCATTAGCGGTGCAGTGAGAAAAGGGAGTGTGAGTACAGTTAGTCGTAGAGATAAGAGAGACATGAGGGGGTGTAGGAAGGATTTGATTTTGACCAATTTGGTCTCGCGTGCTGGTACGGGTATGAGGGCGGTTGTCACTTCCCGGCTGCCCACACCGTGGAAGGTTGTTTCTTGAGGGACCTGAAAAGGAAGATAGATTAGTGTTGGTGCGTGACCGCAGAGCCCAAGGGACAACTGCTTGAGGCCGGTCACGCACGGCCTTTTTATGAAACGTTTTTTGAGGATTAGCTCCGTTCTTAAAGGCCCTTAACGGGCACCCTTACCCAAGGAGACGGAAATCCGTGAGTTAGGGGGAGTGTGACATTTTTAGGGCCGACCTTTTCTAACCCTTCCTTCCTTGTGAGAAGGCAGCATCGCTGCAGATGCTGGTTGTCCGAGGGAAACACCTTACTGCTGTCACACCCCTCTGCAGTCAGCAGTACGACTTCGCCCTCAGACCTTGGGTAGCTGCTTTTAGTCTCATCGTTCTCCAATCGACCTGCCTGGCATGGTAGGACCTGCAGGAACATATGTTCCAGCCAGTATAGCTCGGTTGGGTCATCACGATAGGCAAGCCCGACCACCACGTCAAGGTAGCAGCTTCGGTCGGGTGAGGCCGGTCACGCACGGCCTTTTTATGAGAGGTTTTTTGAGTGTTAGCTCCGCTCTTTTTAAAGCCCTTAGTGGGCACCCTTACCGACGGAGACGGAAATCCGTGAGTTAGGGGAGGTGTGACATTTTTAGGGTCGACCTTTTCTAACTCTTCCTTCCTTGTGAGAAGGCAGCAAGCATCTCTGCAGATGCTGGTTGTCTGAGGGGAACATCTTAATGCCGTCACATCCATCTACAGTAGTCAGCAGTACGACTTCGCCCTCAGACCTTGAGTTGCTGCTTTCAGTCTCATCGTTCTCCAATCGACCTGTCTGGCATGGTTGAACCTTCAGGAACATAAGTTTAAGACAATAGAGCTCGGTTGGGTCATTACGATGGGCAAGCCCGACCACCATGTCGAGGTAGCAGCTTCGGTCGGGAAAGCGTGATCCAGTGTTTACTAGTAGCTTTTCACTGTACTGAATTATTGTGACCCTTGCTCTAACGCAACTGGTTCTTAGTAGTATGGGGACAAGGAAAAAATATTGACAGCACTATCAACGCAATCAAGACTCATCTGGAACACTGGCTTCTGTAAAATGCGCATCCAACTGGTCATTCATAACTATCAACTTCAGGCCGGAGTTTCATGTTTGATTCTTGTCGTAATGTCAGCCACTGTATTTCGTTACACATGTTATTTGTTAAAATTTATGGTATGTTTTATGTACTCTATTAAATTCACATTGATCAGATATGTTTTTACCTGGGAATAAATTTTTTATCATTCGTTTCTCTCGGTTTCTATCACTAATAAATTGCAAAATCTTTCCTTTTGTCCATTTAGAAGCGTTAAAATGCATGCTCAATCTGAATGCCCCTGTAAATTCTTCGGATGGACCACAATGGAAAGTAAGTATTTAAAACGGCTTTGGAATCTTGCATAATCTTTCTATAGATCTTGATATACGACCAACTGGGCAGAGATATCATCTCACCATTACTCACTGTCAAGGATTTACGTATGCTTGGTGTCACACTACATTTGTAAGTGTTAATTCTGAACGTAAATAATTCCACTAATCAGAATGTTAAATTCCCCACGTGAACAAATCCCAGATGTTCCTGCTGTTTATTTCATTTATCCTTCCAAAAACAATATTCAGATTTTATGCAAGGTTGGTATATTTTTTATTTGAAAATTATTATCCATAGGATTTTGAAGCAGGTAGATATGATTCATATTACTTGAATTTCATCAGTCCAATATCACGCGAATACTTGGAAGAAATAGCTCAAACAGCATTATCTGAAAATTGTGTTCATCAAATCTCGAAAGTTTTTGATCAGTATACTAATTTTATTTGCTTGGAGGATGATTTATTGACTCTTAGCTCACCTAATGACAGTCCTTCCACTTTTTATGGTGAGTTTATTATTTTATCGGCAACACAGTATATTCGGTTTACTTGAATCGCATGACATTTTTTATGCTTGGTATATGTTTATGCAGTACGATGGGGAGGATCAGATAATGATGAAACATTTTCTTATCCTTAACATGTACCTGATCGTCTGTTGACATGTAGCTTATAACCAAACGATCTTAGTTAAACTTTTTGTATGTAAAATATATTTATACATTCGATTTGTTAGCGGCTGTCTTGAAATCGGTTTTGGTGCTAATATTACCTACATCCTAGTATTAGTTTTATCTGCTTATCAGAAATATCACTTTATAACTACAACCAGATGATATTTGCAGTGCAGTTAAGTAAGGTTACTCCATTTTTAACAAACCAAGCTAGTGTGAGATCGATCACAATTATAGTTGCTTCTCCCACATAAATCTTCGTATGGTCCCTCGTAAGCCTTGAAAATATCCAGATAATCCTAAAAATATTTTTATTTCAAGATTATGCAATTTCCCTGATAAAAAGTAGAAAAACATGGCTTACATTACTGTAGCTGGAACCAAAATCATGGTTCACTTTTTATTGAAGTCCATATATGATTAGAAAATTAGTGCAGACTGATCAACCAGTCAATCAACGGCAACCTAGAACTTCGTACGTACGTACGTATGTACATCAGTTGAAGTCCCAAAACCATATTAGCACAGAGAGACTAAATTGTCAATTCAAATTCGATGGTAATGGAGGTAGTAGATGTATTAGTGGTAATCAAAAAGATTAGGGATCTAATATGTTATTCGCCAAGTATATCCCAGTGAAATTAGTTTACAAAATGGAGAAAAAAGGTTTTTAATATGTGAGGAGATGAAGAATAGATACATCTGCGCCAATGCAAACGATTTCAAACCATATCATTCAAAGTCTCTAACCATCGGTTACTACGGTCTCGCAGACCTCAACCAGTTAGCCTACACCTACTATCATGGCTCAGTCCAACTTATTTCTACACCAGACCGCCTCCTTGCTGAGGTAGTTGTTGATTGAGCATACTTAATACACGTCCCAACAACCCCTACAGAGGCAAGAAATTTATCAAGAGATGGAGGAAGGATTTGATTGTGGGCACGTTGATCTGTTTGTTGTTTCAGGTATAAGGGCGGTAGTCAATTCCCGACTGCCTACTCCGTGTAGTAGTTTTTCTTGAGGAGCCTGAAAAGGTAGTTGGATTAGCTTTGTGTTAGCGACCTGGCAGCGTGACAACTGCCTGCTGCCAGTCACACATGGCATTTTTAGGAGAAGCGGTTAAACTGGTAGCTCCGTCTTTCGAAATGCCTTAGGTAAGGTTAGTTCCGTGTGAGACGGCAGTGTCGTTGCAGATGCTGGTTATCCGAGTAAAGCATCTAACTGCTGTCACACACAATACGACTTCTCCCTCAGATCTTGAGCAGCTGTTTTTAGTCCTACCGTCCTCCAATCGACCTGCGTGGTATGGTAGGACCTAAAGGAACATATGTCCTAAGCAATATAGCTCAGTTGGGTCGTCACGGTAGACTTGTCAGTGTAGCATATACGTTCCGAAACGTAAGCTAGTCACAAAGTATAGGTCTATATCCCGTCGTTAGGCTATACCTGTCAGCGGACCAAATCCATTTCGGAACTCGAATTTTCAGGAAGGTTATGTTTCATGTTTACAATCATCAGTTAAATTGGTTAGTTCAGTGAATCGTTTTTTCAATTGATTGTCTTAACTGTGGTCCAAATGACTTATTGTATTCAACTTGTGTTGCGGATCTTAGTGTTCGACAATAGTCAGGTTCTTAAATTAATGATTTGCGGCTTCATTGAAAAGAACAGATGATCTTTGCTGTTGCAATGATGTAGGACATTCATCATCATCATTCACAGAGCGCAACCTTTAATAGATCATATTCATGGGATGTACCTCACAATGCTTAGCACCGCTTTTGAGTTTTCATAGCATGTCAAGTTATTTTTTTCACCTCATGCTGTTAATAAACTTTTTATTCAGATTGACTGACATCGCCTTCATCATTGATATTTAATCTTCTTTTATGATCTATAATCTTCAATTTCATTTTACAGACCTTAATCGTGCGAAGGCTACAGAAACTGATGTGGAAAATGTAATCCACTCGGTTGTTGATGGATTGTTTTCAGTGTTTGCAACAATCGGCTCAATACCTATTATACGTTGTCCTCGTGGTAATGCTTCTGAAATGGTAGCATCCCAGTTGGATTCGAAGTTTCGAGATAGCCTTCGAGATTCTAGGAATTCACTTTTTATGAATAATTCAGCGCGTGGTTATGGTATCACTGTAAATGATGATTCATTTGGAGATCGTATGGGATTGAATTCGCCATCGCCACTTAGTCTTTTAAACAAGAATTCTCAAATGACCTCAACGTCAAACTTATTTCAGCGTCCACTGTTGATTATTTTAGATCGCAGTTTAGATTTGGCCTCTCCACTTCATCACGAGTTCTCCTACCAAAGTTTAATCCATGATATCTTTGTAAGTTATGATTTATTTTATTTTTGCTTGTTCCAAATCATGCATAGTGAGAACTACTTGTACATTAATGAGTCGTTTACGTCATATTTAGTAGATACAGATGTATGTATACCAACTTGCTTTATTGAGAGGCATGTCAAGAAAGTATGTTTTAAAGTAAGTTATTGTAACTGATCCCATCATGATAAATACTTCCACTCACACAGTTCCTCACTTTCCGAACGAGCTAGGTTTATACACTCCATATTTTACAAAAGAAAGTAAAACTTCAACATGCAGCTCTCCTTCTCCTTGAAAAAAGACTGAATCGTGCTATATTATTTATTGAAATAACTCCAAATAAGCATATTTTTACCCCTTCAGTTTCCGAATTATTTTCCTCTACTCCACATACGCCTATTAAAGCTAGCATACTGAAGTACTAGTTTGTTGAGTCTAAAGTGTTCCTGCTCTTCATGCGCTAAAAATTACTTCTTTCCTTACACCTGTTCCGGCGTATGGATCATAGACCACCGACCACGAATATCCAACCAACTCTTTCCTGGACTACTTTCTAGTTGTTCCTAGGTGCTATTCATTCTTTTGATGTCTGTTTCCAAATCCAGACGCAACGTGCTCTTTTACCCTGTGGATTCCAAGTTAAGGCTTGCCTCGAGGCGCAGTTGGGTGGATTACGCAATGCGTGTCCTACCTACCTCCGGCGATTTCTTCTTGATTTCTTCTTCATTTGGAAGTTGATTTGTCCGTTGCCACAGTAGGTTGTTGCTGATTGTGTCTGGCTAACGGATCCGAAATATCTTGTGCAATGGACTTTTTATAAATACTGGTACGTTTCTGAGGTTGGTTTTGGTAGCCCTCCTATGCAATAGAGCTGTTTGGATACTTGTATTGAGAATTCTGACTTTGGTGTTGGTTGAAGGTTTTTTCGAGTTTCAGGTATTCGCCAACTATAAAAGCGTTGTTCATGCTTTATCGATCCATGCCTTTATATCTGCATCGAATCCCCCTTGTTTATCAATAATACTATCCAGGTACGTAAGCATCTTCACCTCTCCCAGAGCTTCTCCGTCAAATGTGATTCGGTTGGTGCTTTTTGTTCTTTATCTAAGGACCCTACTTTTTCTCGTGTATGTTGAAGCCTGCTGCTTCTACACTGGTCATCTTCACATTCATTTCTTGCTGTCTAGGAGATAGAAGAGCTAGCGAATCTCTCTCCTGTTTCGTTCGTTTTTCCCAGTCCGTGTCGTTCCATGATGCTTCATATCCAATGTTTTCCATTCCAACCTAGGCATTTAGGCCTTCCATTAGATTGATGAAGTCCATAGTTGGACATTTCTGGACGATTGTCCATCGTAAAATTGATATTTATCGTCTTCATTGTTATCGTTGGTTGTCTGGTAGCACTGGATGACATTCATTGTGATGCCCTCTTTGTTTTGAAGGATGCTTTTTTTATATTGTATCCATGAGATTCCCATCCTATAGGTGATTTTTGTGCTTCTTTGGATGGTAGCAGTCCAAATCCTTGTGTATGCTGAGCATTTTGTTCTTCATGGCCGGAGTATAAGAGCAACTCTGTAGTCCAACATGCATCCACTGTGTTTCGATTGTTCCAAGTACTAGCAGATTGTATCTCTTCATTTCAGCAGCAACTTGGATTATTCTCCCGGTTTACCACATTGTATGAACATTCCATGTAACTATATTGATGGTTGCTCTGGCTGTTAGAAGGGGCATCGGCCTCGTGACTTCCGAAGGAACTCTGCTTTCACGATGGAGCGATGTAACTCTTCTAACCGATAACCTTCCGACTCCCAGTTCAGAGTTTAAATGGTTCAAATTATATTTTCTTGCTAGCGTTTTTAGTGAGTTGGTTTTTGTCGGAATGGGTTTGATAACCTCATGTCTAACCCTCCTCCTTTTTTCGGTTTTAGGACTAGCAGTAACTTTAGAAGTTCTTTTGGTGGAGTTATGTGTTCAAAGTTTCTAGCCTTATTTAGCATTGTTTTTTGCAATTAAGTCATTGATCCTGATCTCTGATTCCGCAGCCCGTGTCTACAAACTAATATTCCCAATTCACTAAACTCCCTATTTTTGTCCTTAAAATATGGCATAGCTTTGTCAAATAAGTTTAATCTTATTATGTAAATGCTTTCAGCAATATTACGTTAGAGTAATCTTAATATGAGGTAGATGAAAGCATTAAAAGGTTGAATACAAAAGTATAATACTAACGACCTGATATGGGTAAATCGAGAAGCTGTATCATCTGTTTAGATGAAGTTCTATTGGTTTTTTTAAACTTATGCCTTCTCTGGGAGTTCCAAATTCACATCACTTCTTTGTTCACACCTTTGAGGGTCATTAGAAATGCCTTAGCAAATAGTAACCTTAAGATGAAACATCTTTTATGTTAATGCTCCTCATCAGAATCTAATTGTTTGCTAAGTCTTACGAACAGTAAACATCTCGGATTGCATCACTTAATTGTATGGCATAGACAAAATGTGTCCAAACTGTCGAAGCCACTATTATAAACCCATCCCACTTACCTTGTAATAGTCTCATATGTATCCAAGAATGCTTCTGGATCACTTATATGAGGAGAAAATAATGAAGTTTGGAAGCCCAGCACAGTTTGTAGACAGTCTACCTAAAACCTTTCAAAACTAAGATTGTGATGTTTTTTAATTTTCGTTACTCAGCTGTTACTGTCATTAGCTACATGTTTTCTAAATGCAAACCATATAGATTCAACTGTTAATTTTTACTTGAAGTAAGTAAGAAATACTTTATACATGTGTACTCTAAAGAATCTAACTAACTTATCATCTAATCCATCAGAATGATTTGATTAATCTACGTTATCATGGGGAAGAAGAATGTTAAACCAGTATCCTCCAATTAATAACTTTACCTCGACATCACATACTTCTTTGAAGGCAATTTTCTACCGTAGTACTATCTGATAACTCTCTCCTTATTTTTTTTAAGCTCATTTCTAGTTTAAATCAATTGTGATAAATGTTGACTGTACTCACTTTATCCCATTTATAATTAACTTTCATCTGCTCTCAATGGTTTATTTTATTATTCAAGAATATTCGTCTCAATCGTGTTCATGTGAATTTGGATTTGGCTAAGCCTATTTCAGATGATGAGAAATCCAAGGTACCGGGAAATAGTACTAAGAAATCGAATTCCAAAATAGTGGAATATGATTTAACCGGATCATGTGATCGTATATGGAGGGATTATAGAGGTGCTGCATTTTCTGATGTTGCAGAAGCTATACACGAAGAAGTTACAATACTAAAAGATTATGACAGACGTATGAGTGAGCTAAAATCATCACTTGGTGGATCCACGGATATAGATGTACTGGCAGCTTCATCGACAATGACGTTTCTAGATGACAATACAGCTAAATTAACAAATGCTATCAAGTTGGTTATTTTTCTTGAGATATTTAATATCTAGTGGTTTTAATGGTGTTTCTGTTTTTTAAGGGTCAAGTATATTAGTCAGTCAGTTATAACGTAGAACTTCCTACGTACGTACGTACATCACTTCAAGTCGCTGTAGCACATTAGCACAGAGAGATCGCATTGTCGATTCAAGTCCCATAGTATAGTAGAGGTAGTAGAAATATTAGTGGTAACTAAAAAAATTAGGCATCGCAAAATATCATTCGAGAAGAGTATATCCTAGTGCAATAAACTTAAATTATAAACTTGTGAAGTGTGTTTTGGTTTATATATTCTAATCATTTTACTCATCCTTTTATTTAATGTTTTGACAGTGTACAAGCATAATTTCAGAACTCAGTTTGCTAATTTTAACTGATAACTTATCTGTAGTTTTAAGTTAAGTTATAGCTGTACAGTTTAGTAATAACTGATGTCAAAATTCGTATTTATTAAGATTGGATTAGGAACATTCAAGGTTTAACTTACTATCTAAGTGAAAAGAGTTGAGTTTAATCATTGAACAAAACAAAACAGTTTACTTACTACTTCATACTTCGAATAACCCTTAGAGTTTTAGGTAAAATACATTGAGAATTGTCTATGTGTTTATATTTGTTTATTTTTGTAGGCTCAATGTTTTTGAGATTGATTGATGAATTAATTAGCTTGTGTCTGATCATAATATAAATATAATAAAATTATTGTTACTTAACTATTTTATTATTTTCAAAAACGAATGTATTATCTGTTTGGAATTCGTAGGCACGTTCAATATTACTTTCAATGTAGAAGATATTAAGTCATTAGTTGTTCCAATACAATAAGATTGTGTTAGTTAAGTTGTGGTGCGAACTACTTATAAGTAGTATATAACGTGAGTGTCAACGTAAAGTCTGGTAGCATAATATGGGGGGAAGATCAAGAAAGGAAGAGTTAGAAACAATGGAATTTGTATGAAACGCATGACTAGTGACAATGGATTGATGTTTGGCAACAGGAACAGTCCAGTTCCATAGGATGAACTGATCTTTTGCAAATGAACGATTTACGATATGGTTTTCCGATTTTACTGAGTAACTCTGTAATTTTCGTTAAATACAATTCGGTTGCCCCACCTGTGTTCTCATTCACTACAAAGTGAGATATGTAGATAAAGTGTATCGTCAATACATTAACCACAGAACTCTCTATTGTAACCACTTTTCAGAATGCACTTATCATTTGACTGTAATGGATAGGTATAAACAAGTGACTTCATGTTGGGAATATTAGATCCTCAAAACTCGCTTGATAAATGCCTTATTTTGGATTTCACGTTTGCCAGCATGGGCTGATCAGTTGACCTTGAGATTTCATTTCCACCAGGAAAATCCATGGCTGTGATTGGCCGCTGTGTGTTTTAGTGTGCTACTTTCGTAACTGTCCCAAGGACATTTCTATGATATATAAATAAACGAGAGTTGTATGCTTGATTGTATTGAGCTTGTTTATAGTAAATGTTTTAAAGTCATTCAATTCATTGAATATTTTCACTACTCCGTGTATAATTGCCGATTAGGATGACTTGATTGTGTACCTAAAACATATTGTTTACCTTTTTTTGAAAAGTCTTTATTCAAATACTCTTCTTACTCGAATCGCTTTTCATTTCTATTGATTTTCTTAGCTCTTTACCTCAATTGATGGAACGTAAACGATGTCTTGACATGCATACAAATATTGCAACTTGTCTAGCTAATGTAATCAAAGACAGGCAGATACATTCTTTTGTTGAAGAAGAAGATCATCTTTTTGCTAAAAATAACCCATCCACGGTATGTTCAATGCATTCAGTTTGTTTGATGTGACTAGAAAATAATGATTTTACGTAATTTTATCTATCAAATGACTATTGATGTGATTATTCTGTTCATAGATATTTAATAGCTGATACGATGGAAACACTGTTGAATATGTGACGATTTGTTAGGTTGTGACCACTTACTTTATCTTATTCTCAGAAATAAGTTGTTCTGCACTAAAAACTTCGATTTAATTATACGTCATCAAAAGGAACAAGTGCAAATTTATTTGATTGATCTACATAGCGTTAAGTGTTACTGTTTGTAAAGAAGAACAAAATTCTCTACTTTAATTATTTCCAAAGTTTAAATTTGGTTAATGTATTTTCCAAGTTTGACGATCATTTTATTTTAGAAAGTCTAATATCTTTGAAACTAGTTCAAAGATCTACAAACGAACTATTCATATTTATGGTTGAATACTGAAATATTTATCTACTTATTGAAATTGAGCCAGTTTTGAAGTTTATGATCAAAATCGTCCGTTATCAATATCCTTATCTGAGGTCATATACAGTTAACCAGATGAATTTACTAACTTGTTATCACTATTGTTATATTCGCATTCTCCTTTTTCATCATTGAATTATTTTTCATCTTCAGTTTAGAGGTCTGTGGGAATTGACCTAGGTTCGGTTGAAGCTAAATAAAACTGGCTATCTGTTTCACGCTAGTATGAGACTTCCAGAGTTTCAGTGAAAAATCGTCATCAGTAAATTTGAACTCTATAGAGTGTTAGGCAGAGTTACCTACCCATCGAAGATAATGGAGAACGATTGATTGCACAATATAACGAACTGACAAAAGTTGCTTATGTTAACCACTAACTACTGACTCATAAGTCTTCAAGTGAAGCGTTCGTTTCTAAACCTGAAACCCCTCAATTCGATCATTGATGAATATCCTGAATGTACATTGCTGAGAGACGAGTCTCATACTAAAGTGAAACATCTGCCTAGTACTTTATGATTCTTAATTGTTCTTTAACTTAGATTAGTACGTGATGTCAATATTTTTTTTTGTTTCTTGGAATGTGAATTTTAATTATTTACTGACATACATGTGAATGATATGTTAACTTTTCTCCTCAACATTATTTAAAGGAACAAAGTGTAATCGAGTTAATTACTAACCCGTCGATTGGTACACCGGAAGATAAATTACGCCTGCTCATTATTGCTGCATTGGCCGGTACCAGTAGATCTGGTACCAATACTAGTAATACATCAGGCAATATGATTACTAGTGGATCTGCAAGCTCATTAAATAATCTTAGTACAAATGCTGGTGGCATTGATTTTTGTTTATCCGATGCTGAAATTGATCGTTTGAAAGCATCGTTACAAAACTCCTTTCCTGATCTCGATATTAGTCCGGTGAATTATATTCAACACTTTAGGTACGTTGTGCTTTTCCTATGACTGTTTGTGTCCGATTTTTTTTCTTCACAACTGATATCGCTAATGTTAAATATGTGTAGATTATGGTAAATAAAATAAATTGAGTTGTTTTTTTTTAAAAAAATATTTATAAATAGGATTGATAATTGGTACAGAGTTCTTTCAGTTGGTTTTATTCATAATTCGGTTAATATTTCGGAAACCCTCAAACTTACAGCTAACTATATTTATGTTTTAATGTTTTTTAGATAAAATGACGATATGATATTGTTTTCAAAAATCAACCATTTCAAATTGTTTATAATTTTTCTTACTTCACGTATAACTGACCCAGAAAACAACTTTTTTCTTTTATTTGAAACTTCTCAATCGTATGAAATGCATTCAGTTTGTTTTCATGATTATTTTATCAAGTTATTCACTGCCGATTAGTTAGTTTCTTTTTTGTTGCTTCTGTCATGAAGTTACTTACGAAACTGTGTATGAAATGCAACAAAAACTCGTAGAGATTCTTTGTAACGTTGTTTACAAGTATCTGTTATAATTCTGTGTATTATTGATGATAAAATCTTGTATGTAGAAACAGAAAGCTATATACATATCAAATGAGTTAATCACAACTGCATTCTCATAATTTTATTTGTAAAAAAAAACGACAACAGGTGGTTGTTATTCGTTAAATCAACCTTTCATAAGTTTCTCACCTTACATAAACTATTTGTGTTTGGATAAAATGATCGTGGAAAACATGAATTTCATTAACATAATTAACTTATTCATAAACATAAATATGAATGTCATACATTCTGCTATGAATATAAACATTTATATACTGATCAAATCATGTGGCATTTACATGAGCTTTTACCTAGTTGATCAGTATTTATTAGTAAAAGATTGTGGTGGTTTTTGAATTTCTTTGAGATCGTGAACTGATCAGTATTAAACCACCATTAGAAACCTTAGAAGCATTGGACGGCTAACAAGTGTAAAGTGATTCAATACTGATAACAGTGAAAGATAGTCGCTCGATATTGTTGGTTGTTCATAGTTAGACATTACCATCGTTACATTCCGACTCAGTGGTCTAGGGGTTAGGCGTTTGCACGTGGATCCTAAGATCTTGGGTTTCATTCTCTATGGAGAACCTGCTCTGCTGAGGAGTCCCATATAAGATGGCTATTCAGTATTTCCACAGTCTCAATGTTGATCTAAAATTAATCGATTCATGATTTCAGTGACGGGTACTTGTTGTCATATCAACATTTGTGCTTGCTCATCATAGTTCCTAGTATTCTGTTTTAGTAAATAACTAAATTTTTTCAGGTAATATTTATTTTGAATGTTTTGAGTAACTTTACTGTGTAATTAATTTACTTTAAAATAATAAACAGAAAAATCCCAAAAGCTGGTCAGTTAGCTGACAGAATAATGGAAAACGTTAAGGGCGCTGGCAGTCGTAGTGTTCTGAATAAACTTGTATCACATGGTTCTGCTATACTGCTGACTGGAATGAGACATTTAATTGGTCAAAAATCTGTGAGTCTAATATCTGTAGTGTGTTTTTACTATAGTTTTTATTGATTTCTTAAACGTTACCGTCATAAATGTATATTTACTAACAAATTCTATTAGTGTCCATTTAAGCTTGACAAATTACTTCTTGGCTAGAACGGTCTTCTTTTTAAGAAATTTCCTTAGTTTAGTATATTAACCCCTTATTGTCTTCCAATGACTACAAGTGTGTAATGCAACGCCAACTATATATTTATGTAATATGCTGAAATGTTTACAAAGACTAATAGCGTTTATTATTTTTATTTTTATAATTATCTTCTTTCAAATCTCTTAATGTTTATTCCCTGTTTTATAAGTTCACTGAATTTTCGTTTGAAAGCAATAAGTTTCATGTTTATTTGTTGTTAATTCCTATTTGATAAGTTGGTAACATAAGACACTGCTAACAGTTGTCATTTACGCTAGCGTACGTTATAATTATTCTATATTTTATTGTTTTAGTAAACCCTTTTCCTTACAGACATTCAAAAGTTTTAAACACCTCATCAGTTGAGATTTGTACCGAATTCACGTCTATTCGTTAATAAAAGAACAGTTCTTTAGACAAATCGTTGTTTATGCTGGGCTTCAATTTCATGAGTATCTCAATCCTGTTGTTAGACGCTTCGATAGATTTAATGATAGATTTTCTCTTTTTTTATAAATAAACTTTTCTGTGACTAATACTCCTACTGATAATGATACTGTTACTAATTCTACTATTCCAGAACTAGTCTTGATAATTTTATCTAGCTGTGATAATGTTTTATGGCAACTTAAGCCCAAGTGCATATGTTTCAGAAGCTACGTTACTTATAACTGACTGGCCGACTATATTCAACCGTACTTTATTAGTAGTCAGTCAGTTTGTGTCATTTGTTCAATTCCTTCCAACCAGAAGAAAAACTTTTTCCCACTCAAAATGAGGCTCGATTTTCCCAATCAAAGATTCTTCTCGGTCCCATCCTCTAGTAAATTTAAGTATGTATTAGTGTGAGTTAGTGGCGATGGTCTTTTCTCACATTTTTAAATCATACTGTTTAAATATGCGTGAATATCACCTTCCTAATAATAATAAAATATTTTTCAGCCTTGTCACTGTAATAGTTGTGTGTTCAGTATCTAAGTTTATACGCCATCCTCATATATTCCTGTAGAAATTTCCCCAGTCTCATGCCTATTTTTAGTATTTTTGGGTGTTTGTTAGAGGTATTCGACAGAGCATCCTGTCGGTGTCGAGTCACTCAGACCAGCTGAGAAATCGCAAATCAGTCGTGACATTATTCGTTGCTTAGTGATCAATTATTTTAAATGTTTTTAGCATTCGCTAAATTCTTACTTTTATCTACTGTACAATCGTAAGTCATCAACCCCGATCAATTTTATCATTTTTTTAGTGTAAATCAGTCTTCACTTGTAGTAAATTATAAGGTCATATACTACCACTTAGTTTTACAACGTTGGTTCTTTTCAAAACAGTATATATTCTCGTGGAGATCAATCATCTCTGTAATATCATATCTCAGCTAAACTGCTGTTAATGGTTATTATGTTCTATATGTAAGCGTTGCAGTAGATATCCTTATCCTTTCATTCCTCTCCATTTTATCCTTTATGCTTACTATAACAAAAGTGAACTAAAATTTTCGATTATCGTTTTGTCTCAGTAAATTTAATGACTATCGAAATGTTCGATTATTTTTTGCATTCATTAATAATAACTCGATCATTTCTTAGAACTGATCATTTTCATGGTTTCTGTATACAAATTTATATATATATACAAAAAGTAAATAACGTAATTTTTATTACTTATTTTCAGTACCTACCGTTTACTCGTATTGTATCTCAGTTGATGGAAAATAAAAGTGGTTCGGAATTCGAAGATTACCGCTATTTCGATCCGAAATTGTATAGGCGTCAAGATGCGTAAGTTCATTGAATTTATCTCCATCATTTATACTACCTAGTGTACACTTAGATTTGTGTTAGGATATTCATCAAATATCCTAATAGAATTATTCTTGTAAGTCTAATTCTATTGGTCAATTTTATGGTCGTCCTAACTGTCCATGTCTCAGACTTCAATTTTGTTTCCCATTCGAACTAACTGTGTAAATACGCATTATCTGTAACGTTTTATGACTCGGACCTGGATCCCTAGTCCGGGATCCTTATCTTCTTCTGGACTCGGACCTTGTACTTTCTGGATGCTTGTAGAATACATGTTCTACTTCATATCAAGTCTTGTCCTTTTACTCAATGGGTTGTTCGGACAATCAGATTAGAGTAGCATGTCGTATCGCCGGATCCTCGGTCTCGTTCTCCGACTAAGGTAAACCTATAATAGTTCAAGCAAATCAAGTGATGTGTTTACGTGCAATCGTAACAGTTTGTTTTTAACCTTAAAATTTACACTCAATTCATTTACTGTTGTGCTATTCTGCTTAAAAAATTTACTTACTAAATGTTATAAAATTTTAAACGATAGGCGTTCATATATAGTGATGTCCTCTATCTGAAAGTAGTATATTACCCAACAGAATCTATTTTATTTTTACGATCATAAATGTTTTTTATGCTACACATGTAATAGTAGAGTCGTAAATGACTGTTCATCAATCATTATATTATTACTTTGAATAAGTACAGTTGAATAGTGAACGATTGACGTAGTGCTCATATATATTGTTCACGAACTCCATAGTACACATTCACAACAGATTAAGTTTCGATTATTTTTATATATACTCCTGTGGTTGTATAAAATTTGGATAATAGCCTGTTGTTAACGATCTTTCGCGATTATTACTTTACTGATAATTCGTAAAGTGATGATCACATTGAAAAAATATTCATTGATTTGACTATTTCTCCTTCGTCAAACTCATATAGCAGAGTACCAATACAGAAAACGTGATCAAACCTTAAGTATTTTTATTTTTACAATGTTTCCGTGAACAAGTGAATAATCATTGATTAAAACAAGAGTTTTCGGTACAAGCAGAGCTCAAAAACTAATTACATCGTGCTTCAGTTTTGGTCAAAAATGGTACCGCATCAATGACCGAACTATCTCAAAGTTTTCTTAGTGAAATACTTGACAACTACTAATCCTCATTTCTGATCCAATAAGTATTTAAGTAACCTTAATATATATATTTCTCTGGTTCCCAGCAATCTAAATTGTCCTATTTTTCATTCTGAAGTAATGGACAACATTCGTTTACAATCAAGTGCTCTCGGCTTTGTTAATTGAAACCTCGTTCCTCACTAAATAGGTTCTAGCTCTGGGAATCCCATTCCTACCAAAGGCGATGAGTATAACTTCCACACCTGTCGATTAAAACATTTCTAGTGAGACAGATAATTTTATTCACCTTTGTTTTTAGCAAAGGTATTTGGAAATCATTTGTTACTGTACAGCTCATATATAAATGATTATTTAAAAACCTTAAATTTTTCCTTATTTTAGAGACTATTACGTTCAATTTTTATAAAATAACGACTGACTTACGCAAAAAGTACTTTGCATCATGTAAATATGATCTTACATTTTGTAATTTCTACATATGATATGTTTATTTCTTCAACAAAAGAAGAAAGGGAAATACGTAACGTCGATTAAAAATGCTAAAAATTGATTTCGTTACCTACAACATACAGTGGCTGTGAATGTGTGGTGCAGTCTTATGAGCAAATAACGTCAGTGGTCCATTGTCCATTATCTTTCATTAGGTTTAAATGCGTTCCAGTGTGTAATTTGTCAATCACTGTTCTGAGTAGCGAATTTATAAATAGTATTATAATAACATTATTGTCAGAAAACATGAGTATGTAAGTCAATTTGAAAAAATATTTTCTTTTGTTTTTTCTTCTCAGTAATATGCCTCGCATCAAACAACCTTTCGACGAAGCCTTTGTCTTTGTCGTAGGAGGTGGAAGTTATGTTGAGTACCAGAATCTGCTAGATTGGGTTAAATCAACTTGTTCCACTACATCTGGCCAAACTAACTCGTCGTCAACATCTTTAACAAATTCTGTTAATGGGATAAACAGTATTTCTGGCCCAGGAGGTCACGATTCATCCAATGCTCCCAATATTGGCACAACTTATTCCAAGCATATTACTTATGGTTGTAGTGATCTCATTAGTCCGTCTGAATTTTTAACAGAAGTAAGTTTTGTACGAGTATAATTTCTGTAATCTGATAGATTGTTTTTTGATTGTTTTCTCAAATCCATTTGTCCCCAAACACAGTTAATTAAATGAAAAATTTCTAATTTTACTTCTTTTTACGTTATTCAAAGTTTAACTGATATATAATAGTTTCCTTGACACGCTGATCAAATTCACCTGTATGCAGTATGTCAGTAATTTATATCTGACATAGTCTTGCAGTAGTTCTGAAATTATAGGGATTCTTTGTGAAACGCACTGTTTTGATGGCACTTCATAATAGTAAACATTTTATTGAGCTGAATTTTGAAACTTCTGATGTGTTCTAACAATCAATCTACTTCCTGTATTTGTTTTCATATTCTAGTTAGGAAAACTTGGGAAGGAGTTGTAATCGTACATTTCTGAGTTATTTCTGATCAGACGACTCAGTGCTCAATTACTTCATGGATACAATGGGTGCTCTGGATCTTACATGCTCTGTAAAATTTTTCTTCTGTGATGATACTTTTAGTATCTGGTGTATCAGTTATCGAAAATGTTTATTTGAACTAACTTGTATTTTTTTCTTTATTTGTTGTCCTTAATACGTGCCTAAATCTCTTACTAAAATGTTTTCTACTTCAGGATTGTTTGAACATATTCTTATTTGTATCCACATTTTAGATTATTCACCACTTAATTATATTGTTTATTCAAAATTCTAATGTTTGGAAATATAAATAATCTGTAATTCATTGTAATTTTGATTATTACGTCAGGAATATAGCAGCTTTTGAACTTCCTGTATTATGCTTTATATACTAATTTTTGTAAGTTAGTTACTTTATTCACGGCTAAGATAAATGCACATTACTGGGATTTCTCAATGTGGTAACTTCATTTTGTTCAGTTAATAGGTTCAGTAACTAGAAATGTCATCGGTCTTTATAGTTATGTGTCTCAATATACCGTGTAAAAATACCCACATGAATTACGGTTACCCTCTTATTTCAATGTAAACCAAATGTTTCTGTACTTAAAATTTATCGTGGTAACTCATCAGTTTCGCTAAACGTTCTAATTATCTATAAAACAACACTTCCTATCATACATACAGCGCTTTTCGTCCTGTATATCATCGCCTCTATCTTCTAAGTTAATACAACTACCCTACTCAGGCTGTCGCGTCAGTCTCTTCATGTAAGAAAAGGGATTCCTAAAGCGGTTCGTTTTGTTTGCCGGCAACGACGTTTCGTTTTAATTTCAGTGAAGCCACCACTGCTAAAATATCGATTCCAAGGAATGCTAACGTTTTGTTAAGTCCGTGCTGAAAACCAATGGCCCCAGTCAAACCTTCACAGAATGTACTTATCGATCAGTAGATTAAAATATGCGATATAGTGCCGATGGCTTAAGAATTTGGTCTCTCTGTACATGTCTAGGTTGAACGTCGGCTGAGAAACCAGCTCCACAAGGCGAACTGTTGAAATTGAGGATCCAAACTTGGTCCCATTTCTTCACATTCAGTATTGTAACTAATGTTTAGGACGCTCTGTCACTTGAAGTAATCAGTGTCTCATTAGTGGGTAGCATCAAGGAATGACTTTACAGACGTGTACACATCAACAGATAATCCACTTCGGCTAACTGTTTTAGATGCAAGTCTAGTATTATCACATACCTTCAGATAATTACTATCTGGCTTATCATCTATGATCAACTGTGACAGTTATTCTCATCCGGACTACAATGTTCGCATGGTGAACGTGCCCATACTATGCAAAGAAAATCGGTTTCTTTTATTTCAGCTAAGAAATATGGGGTTGACCATTTTGATAAGTCAGTTACCCTTTTTTGAATTCGAAAAGCTACTTCCCTTTGAGAATAAAATTAGGTTGATAAACGGTCTTTGTTGTCATTCAGTCTAACATTTATGTTTTTAAATTAAGATTATTGCAACGCATATTTCCTTGGCTATGTCAAGGGATCAGATAAACTCTACCTAATATTAATCAAAGGAATTGCACACTTCGTGAGAAGAAAAGAATATTGGAGAAATCAAATCAAACCTTCAGTATTAGGAAGGCTGAAATATTTTATCCCTAACCCTGCATAAAACTCCGCCAGTAGAACCTTGGAGGCCACTGCCGGTCCCAAGCCCGGATAAAGGAGGAGGGTTGGACATGGGGTTGGCGACCCCATCCCGTCAAAAACTAACTTGCCGAAAAAAAGCTAACCAGAAAAAATAATTCAAACCATTTTAACTCTGCCCTGGCAGTTAAAGCCGAGTTTCCTCGGAAGTCACGGGACCGATGCCTCTTCTGACAACCAGAACAGCTATTCTTTTAGGTACATGGAACGTTCGTACATTGTGGGAGACTGGAAGACTATTTCAAGTTGCGGCAGAAATGAGAAGATACAACCGGGAGGTGCTCGGTATCAGTGAAACGCACTGGACGCAGGTAGAACAACTGAGACTTGCTACAGGGGAACTGCTGTTATACTCTGGTCATGAAGAGGAAAATGCTTCACATACACAAGGAGTTGCACTGATGCTGTCCAAACAAGCAAAAAAGGCACTGATAGGAGGGGAATCTCATGGACCCAGGATCATTAAAGCATTTTTCAAAACAAAGAAAGAGGACATTACAATGAACGTCATCCAGCATTGGATGGAGAGGTTTGCAAACCTAAGTGCCTTCAACAAACTGGTCATCGGTGGCACAATATTCCTGCACGAACGTATACACAAAGCCACATAGTTTTCACCGGACCACTCTACTCAGGACCGAACTGACCATATCTGTATCGACAAAAGGTTCAGGAGGACTATGGAGGATGTGAGGACCAGGAGAGGAGCTGATATAGCCTCAGATCACCACTTGCTGACCGCCAAAATGAAACTGAAACTAAAGATGCGCTGGACAACGGGGCAGACAACAGCGCACAAGTTTAATACGGCCTTTCTTCGGGATACTGTAAAGCTCAGTGAATTCAGGATAGCCCTCACCAATACGTTCCAGGCTTTTCAGGATCTACTCAATGGAGAGGAAGCAACATTGGAGAACGATTGGGAAGTGATCAAGGAGGCAATCACTTCAACTTGTCACGAAGTTCTGGGTCACAAGAAGTACTATCACAAAGAATGGATCTCTGTTGATACTCTTGAAAAAATTGAAGAAAGGAGGAACAAGAAGGCAACAATCAATGTAAGCCGAACAAGAGCAGAGAAAGTTAAGGCACAAGCTGCATACACAGAAGCAAACAGGGAAGTGAAGAAGAGCATCAGAGCTGACAAACGAAAATATGTGGAAGATCTAGCAATGATGGCGGAAAAGGCTGAAAGGGACGGAAACTTGAGACAATTGTATGAAACTACAAAGAAGCTCGCCGGGAACTATCGTAAACCAGAACGACCAGTGAAAAGCAAGAAAGGGATAATAATCAGCAACACTGAAGAACAGCGACATAGGTGGGTAGATCACCTTAAGGAACTCCTGAATCGACCAGCTCCACTGAACCCACCCAACATCGAAGCAGCATCCACGGACCTCCCAATTAATATTGGCGCACCTACGATTGAGGGGATCATTATGGCCATCAGACAAATCAAGAGTGGCAAAGCAGCAGGACCAGACAACATTTCATCAGAGGCAATGAAAGCAGATGTGGAAGCAAGTGCCTAAATATTTCACATCCTCTTCAAGAAGATTTGGGATGAGGAACAAGTACCGACGGACTGGAAAGAAGGATACATGATCAAAATACCAAAGAAAGGCGATCTCAACAAGTGTGAGAACTACAGCGACATCACCCTTCTTTTAATACCAGGCAAAGTCTTCAACAGAGTATTGTTAAACAGAATGAAGGACTTCGTAGACGTCCAACTTCGAGATCAACAGGCCGGATTTCGTAAGGATCGATCGTGTACTGACCAAATTGCTAAATTACGGATCATTGTAGAACAATCCATTGAATGGAACTCACCACTCTACATCAACTTCATTGACTACGAGAAAGCATTCGATAGCGTGGATAGGAAAACACTGTGGAGACTTCTTCGACACTACGGCGTGCCTGAGAAGACAGTCTACATCATACGGAATTCTTATGATGGATTCAACTGCAAAATCGTGCATGGAGGTCAGCTAACAGACTCTTTCGAGGTGAAGACCGGTATCAGGCAAGCTTGCTTACTCTCACTCTTTCTCTTTCTCCTCGTGATCGACTGGATTATGAAGACGTCAGCATCTATAGGGGAGCTCGGTATTCAGTGGACTTCTAGGACGCAGCTGGACGATCTGGACTTCGCAGATGACCTGGCTCTTCTATCACACACGCAACAACAAATGCAAGGACTGCATTTCTACAATTGAAAAATATCTGGAACTCCAAACAACAACCAACCAAAACCAAAATCAGGATTTTCAATACAAATGTCAAGACAGTTCTACTGTATGGAGCGGAAACTTGGAGAACTACCAAAGTCATCATCCAGAAGATACAAGTGTTTATTAACAGCTGTCTACGCAAAATACTTACGATTCGCTGGCCAGACACCATCAGCAACAGCTTACTGTGTAAGAGAACAAACCAGGTTCCAGTGGAGGAGGAAGCGGATAGGACACCAGTACGAAAAGCACCTAAATTTATCACGAGACAAGCCCTCACATGGAACCCTCAAGGCAAAAGGAAAAGAGGAAGGCCGAGGAACACATTACGCCGAGAAATAGAGAATGATATGAGAGGAATGAACAAACATTGGACAGAACTGGAGAGGGAAGCCCAGTACAGAGTTGGTTGGAGAAAACTGGTGGACGGCCTATGCTCCATTGGGGGTAACAGGCGTAAGTAAGTAAGTAAGTTATACTGCATAAGTCGAGAAACTTATGTGACGAAAATAAAAGGCTATAAAAATACTTAGTACTCTTTTTTCTTACTAGGAGACCATACATGACTACACTGTGAAGACATAGTTCTACCCCACCAATGGAAAATAACTACAACAATATATTATATGTCATAGAAATGTCCTGCCTTTCGAATCACACAAACCTATTTACTCTCATGACTATTACCATCAGAGAAATCAATATCTTTGGGTTAGCGAATGTACATGGTGGAAATAATTTCATAAGACACAGTTGAAGGCGTCCTAGATTACATCAGGAAGCAACGAATTTTAATCTCGAACGTTTATACTATTTATTTTTATGTATCTGTAACAAAAGGACTGAAAGATCGCTATAATAAGCTTGTCTTTGAAACAGGTTAAAAACATAAACCTGGAAATCTGACGAACATAACTTAAACCTGCAAATACCATCTTCTCAAGGTTGCATGAATATTTAATTGAAACCAAATTCTTAGTGGCAAGCAGGAAGTCTTTATAATAGGTTACTTATATCTCCTAACTGTATTGGTAGACCGTTAATGTTTTTTGCTTCCAAAGACCTAAAGATATCTATATAAGTAGCTGCCATTACCAAATACGGCTCAGGGTTGGTGACCTAATCTCGTAGGAAAATTAACTCGCCAAAAAATGCTAAGCGAGAAAAATAAGTCAATACATCTTAACTCTGCCTTCCCTTAAAGTCAAAGGAAAAGAGGAAGGCCAAATAGCACATTACGCTGAGGAAAAGGTGGTCCGTGACAGAGTAGGTTGGAGAATGCTGGTTGGCAGCCTACGCTCCTTTGGGGGAAACAGGTGTAAGTACGTAAGTAGGTCAGTAATGAAATATAGATGTGGAGAAGGATTAGAAATGGAATGTTATGGTTTAAAGCTTACGAATTAACTACAAAAATCTGATTACTCAAGACCTCGGTAGTTGAGAACTAGTTATTCTAAGTGCAGCTTGATGCTTTCTGGTCATTACTTACAGATTTCAACATAGTGAATACCACTAAAGTACTTGGACCTTGGAGTCATCGTCAGCCAAGATAATAAAGATAGTTCAGTATGCAATATGGTAACCGCCATAAGTTTTAGAATATTCTAGCCGATACGTACAATATTTCTTCATGAAAATCCTAGGACTTTTGAAGTCGTTTCTTGACTGTGCCTACATCAATAACACCTTTCCAATCCAGTTTACGGAAACCTAGGCAGAGTAGAAGTCAGGAATGAAGGAAATATTAAACACTTGTAGATGTTCGAGTCGCAGGACTATGAACATGTCTATATGCTATTTACGTTCAAATCTAACCCTAAATGTTGTGTGGGGAGAAGATGGGAAAAACCAAATGATATAGCTGAAATCGCTGGCGATCACTCGGTACCGAAGAATTATCAATACGTACCATAGAATTGGGCGAAAGACCAAATCAGTCAAACCAACAAGTCGACCGCAAAGAAGAGGAGCTCGTGATCACAGCTAATGCCAGTATACATAAAAAAATACAGATGTCATTTCGTTAATCGAAAGTAAACAAATATTCAGTAAATAATGCATCGTTTCAGTTGATTATAATAGGGATTGTGGCTATTCACCGAATCACGTTTTTCTCAGATGAATACAAAACATTGCATACTTTCGAAGAATATTTCAGTTGTCGAGCAGTCAGTGATCTGAATAGACGAGTTTGCATTGTTTAGAGTGTTCGTTATACTTGAATTCCAGTTCTCAGTTTCATTAACCAATCTTAGCTTAGACGTGAACAACCAGTTTTTGAATCTGTCTAGTAAACAATTATTAATTGGTTTTAGATAATAGCGAATTGCTCGTATGATTAAACTTGCATTTTTTTTTCTTAGCATCTGGATGAAGTAAATTGAACTATGTAGTTCTTTCATTTTACAAAGAAAAACGCGATCTTTTAAACGGCAACATTCATCATTAAAATCAATTGTACCGTTGAACGTACTATCGAAAATTTTCGTATTCGTGTTTATTTTTATAGGCGATGACGTTTGTTCTTTTGATTTATCTACCGACATTACGTTACAGTCGTATTACTACCCAATTTTTCTGGTCGGTATCTCGTTTCGGCTGCTCAGTACATTGGTTTCTTTCTCTGGAATGTTTTGGTATTTCTTCGGAATCATGAAATCGCCAACAAATGCATTAATTTAATCCTTTCTAGGATAACGTACCAGACCCGAATTCAATTCGTATTTAGACACTTTCATAGTCCTACGACTCGCACATCTATAACGTGATCACAGATTTCTAACTCTTTGATATTAAATTTGTGCCGGACACAGCCTTATTTTCCATGAAATCTACAAATGAGATTTTATGAGAACATTCTCATTGAGTCTGTAAGTCCAGAATCGATTACTTTCCAGCTTAGTTTCGAGATTTATTCAAAGCATGGAGAATTCAAACATGTTAATTCACCACGTGACAGAATCTCTGTGTGATGATGTAGATAAAAGTAAGTCAGAATATGCAAAGAGAATTCGAATCCAGGACTAGCTGATCGTCAAAAGTCTTGTGTCCTTTTATCAGAACCGAAACCAATTTGTCTGACTTATTTGTCAAATTATATCTCTTAACTGGACTACAGTTTTCCTTTTACTCATTAAAATTCTTAGCATTTCACCTGCCTTCTCAGCATAGTACTTAGATTTACCGTAATACATACTGAAAAAATTAAAGCCTCAAACAGATAATTTACCCACTTTATAAGGTGAAAGCTATCTAACTGTTTTAGAAATTTCGCAACAGCGCAAACACAAACGTGAACTGATGAAAATGCTTGAATATTTGCCCTCTGATAATACTATTTCTAGTAAATACTCAGGAGGGCATCGCTGATAAAAGTCCTAAAGAGTATTTATTTAGTGCATTCAGTCAGAACTACAAATTCATTGGCTATCGAAACTGCAATTTACATACAGAAGCGCTTAGCTTAAAAATTCTTTCGACCTTAAGACCGCTAGGTTTTCTTACCGATGGTCATGGCGTGTGCACCCTACCAATAATACCGGGTGTACGTATACAAAACTACAAATCAATAACGAACCGAGAATAATTAAGACATGATTTATAAATTTTAGCCTAAAATTTTTACATCAAGATGTATATGTGACAAAACTGGTTGATATGATTCATATTCATCTCTCTTTACATGGTTATATCCTACTTATATATGAAATGATGAATTATTTGTTAAGTTGGCGAGTAACACGTGGTACATTTCAAAACATTCGGGGCAGGATTCAGTCCTTATAGTACTTCAAGTAATTCGCTTCAATATGCCTCCTGGCCTTTCTTCCTTTTACTGTGAAGTTGTTTGTTGATGAAAAATTCCTAAACGCTGTAACTATGTTTGAAATCAATTATTTCTTCGAGTTTTGCCTTTGCACTGAGTTCTTAGAACTCATTTGTCTCACCAACCACTTAGCCTTTCACACTCTAGATTTCATCCCCGATGTCGGCACCTAGCCTTCACACACTGTCACTAAATGTTAAACAAAACTCAGTGGATAGCAGTATCCATCTCTTAATTGAAAACGGCGAAGTCGACATCTCTGGTTATCGACATATGGTAATACCAGCAAAAATAGTTCACAGCTTCGCAAATGCATTCTGTTTTTAATCTTCTCCGGGTAATTAATATTTTACTCCCCAGTCATTCCTGTTTTTCTGCTTAAATTACTTTGTTCTTCCTTTCGTGCATTAATTTTTTCCGACATTATTATCTCAAATTCGGAACTTACTCTAGGTCCGTCTCATTATATTTCTGTGAAGTTAAGTTAGGACAAGTGTACTGTGCAGTAGTTCGCTCCGTCTTACTTTATGGCTGTGAAACATGGCGAATGAAAGTAGAAGATATTCGTACGTTACTGGTTTTCGATCATAGGTGTCTTCGAAGCATTGCTCGTATATCCTGGGACAACCGAGTGAGCAACGCTGTTATTAGGAAACGGGTACTTGGTAAGGATGGCAGATCAATCGATGAAGTGGTGAAACTTCATCAGTTGAGGTGGTTGGGACGTGTGCTGCGTATGCCTAACCATCGACTGCCTCGAAGAGCTTTGTTTTGTAGTGTAGGAGTAGGTTGGAAGAAAGCTAGTGGCGGCCAGACTAAAACATGGCAGAAATGGATGAAGTCACTGACAAGTGGACTATGTGATGTTGGTAAATGTAGACTACCTGGTTGGGGTCCGCGAGACGAAAGTCACCAACGGTTAGAGACCCTGAATGACATGGCTCGAAACCGTTTGCAATGGCGCAGATGCATTTATTCCTTGTGTTCTCTCAAATCCTAATCTTCTGGATTCTTCAACACCTCTAGTTTTGACTTTCTAAACTTTTCTCACTGAATCATACTTCTTGAATAATATCTTCTAATCCTAACCTCTCCTATTACTTCTAATACCTTTACTACCTCTATTACTATTTGATTTGAATAGACAAATACATCTCTGTGATGATGTGGTATGGCGACATGAACTGATGTACTTACGTACAAAGTTCTACGTTGCATCTGACTGACTGTGAAGTTAGGTTTATTTATTGCTTTCTCTGTGCGTTTAATTTACGTGTTCTAAATAGCCGAAACTCAGACTAGTAGGATGTGCATGCATAGTACATTGTTTCCTACAAACAGACAGTCGGAGTATCTATAAACATGCAACAGGAATACGGGAACGATATTCTTAGGTCGTTCGTGTTAAAAATGGGACACTTGTAATATCACTATTACGCAAAAAAGTAAAGCCCTTATTTTCTTCGGCATTCTTTTGAAAAAGTGGCTCTCACTAATCTTAAACGTCAAATCTCCATAAGTTCAATAACTGGCCTGTTATAAATGTACCATCCCTATTATAATAAATCTGTTCAATCCTTAATGTAATTCGAAGTTATGAAGTTAGATCTCGGTGATGGTATTGACATATATTTTTCTGTAGTTATTAAATCTCCAATTGTTTCCACTACTGCTAATTTCTCGACATTTTGCATATGTATTTTCTTGTTTTTAGTCGTCATAATCGTAGGCAGTTGTACGGTGAAGCCGAAATTCGCCCCAAAATATGGGTGTTCATTCATGTTCATCTATATTTGAATATCTCAAAAATGTCGGTGTCCACATGCTTGACGAACTGTACACTCACCCTCCAACATGTCTTGTTGTTTTCAGAGAACTACCCGAACTTGCAAAACATTTCGTCATGCGACTTTTATTTATTGAACAGCCGATACCAAAATCTATTGTCTCTGGATGGGTTGAAAAGGGTTCTAGTGCACTCCTAAACGATGCATGTAAAGCTTTGACTGATTTGAGAATATGGCATTCTACTGACAGTAATGTTGCTCGAGGTTCTTGGTCTTTGAATAAAAAGTACCAAGAGTCTATCCGGATATCACTATTTGGAGGGTAGGTTTTGTTCATTTTCTAAATCTGTATAATTAAATTACAGTGGGAAACCTTTGCTTGGAGATTTAGGCATTGTGACAAATGATAAGTACTCAAAAAGCGTTGACTTTTTGAAATCTTATTCAGTGGAACGCTGGGATGTGAGTTTACACTTGAATTAATTACTTTTCTCACAGGCTATACTTCACTTTATGGTAGGCTCTGAATCAGCAGAAGTTGGGACTGTTGTGAAGGATGTTCTTTTACTGTCTAATTTAATGAAATGGTACGTTCAACTTTCTAGTTGTGGCTTGATATTCATGTATACTAACTATCAGTGAAGGTAATGATTCTCCAATCGGTATCACAAAACATGGGTTTCATTTTCTGCTCATGAGTCGACAGTGTCAAGTGTTAGTGTTCATCTTACACTACTTCGATTACTTAAAGGTAATACAGCCATCCATTATCATCTAACACTTTTTTACTTTACCAGGAGAATGGTAAAAATCTAGTTGGAGCCCTTCAGTTTGTTTTCCAACTTAGTTTCTTGTGTCCTACTAAGGTGAGCTCAACTTTATTTGTTTTATGTGGCTAATATTCAGTGAGCCCAACAACTAAGCACACTTTTCTCTTGTAGTTGGTTGGTCGTACTTATTTTGTTATCGATAATTATTGTCTGTGCGCTAAACTAAGATTCCCCGGCCCTGACTTCAGTACAAAGACTACTACGATCCTCTTTTTCCTTGCCTTTTTAACTAAAGTGAGAGGTTCAGTTGTTGTTGTTGATGTCCTCAGTCTGATTAAAAGTATGTTTAAGTCACTCGGTTGTATATCGATTAAAATCATGATAATCTGCGAGTAAATGTCACCAAATAGAGGACTATCGCTCGTTCTGGGGCACATATCTAGATTCAGATCATGCTATATTGCGAGCGCGTATTTGTTTGCGACTTACCGGATGTAGGAAAGACACCGCAAGGAAACCTGTTAGGGTGCTACCTAATGATAGCGGAGCTGCACAGCAGTTCGCTCTGTTCTACTATATGGATGCGAAACGTGACCGGTAAGAATAGACATTCGTAGGTTACTAGTATCTGATCATAGATGTCTTAGAAGCATTACTCGTGTATCCTCGGACAACCTAGTTAGCAATGCTGCCATTAGGAAACGAGTTCTAGGTAAGGATGACAATCAGTAGATGAATCATTGAAAATTCACCAGTTGAGGTGGTTGGGATATATGTTACGTATGCCCAACCACCGACTGCCTTGACGAGCTATGTTTTGTGTTGTAGGATTAAGTTGGGTGAAAGCTAGAAGCGGCCAAACCAAAACTTGGCAGCAATCCATCAAGTCACTGACAAGTGGACTGAGTCATGTTGGTAGATTTAGGCTATCTGGTTGGGGTCCGCGAGACGAAAGTCACGGATGGTTAGGGACCTTGAATCACATGGCTCAAAATCGTTTGCGATTGCGCAGGTGCATCCACTCTTTGTGTTCCCTCAAATCCTAATCTTCTGGATTCATCAACGCCCCTACCTTTGTCTTTCTAAACTTATCTCACTGAATTATACTTCTTGAATAGTATCTTCGAACTCTAATCTCCATTACCGCTAATTCTTCTACTATCTCCACCACTATGGGATTTGAAATAACAGTTGCTTCTCTGTGATGATGCGGTATGGCAACATGAACTTGTGTACTTACGTACGAAGTTATACGTTTCATGTGACTGACTAACTGACTGAATACAAAATGAAAATGCGTTGTAATGTAACAAAAATATTCTGAAAGTTGGGCTTCCATTCACCTAGGTCAGTAATAATTTTCTTTCTTGATAGATTCCATATGAGTAATAAACATCCGTGACACTAGGTTCATTCCCTTTTACGCAGAATGGTCAACATTACCTGTTAGTCAGTTAGTTGCAACGTAGAACTTATTACCTACGTACATCATTTCAAGTTACCCTACTACATCGACCAGAAGAGATATAATTTTCAGTTGAAATGCCATATTAGTAGAGGTAGCACAAGTATTAGCAGTAATGGAAGAGGTTTGAGATCGAAGATATGATTCAAGAACCCCATCCCAGTGAAATAAATTTCAGAAAAGAAAAACGGTCGTGTTGAATTTAGAAGATTCGAATTTGAGAGGAGACAAAGAATGGATACATCTGAGCCATTGCGAGCGACTTTGAATCATGTCATTCAAAGTCTCTAACCATCGGTTACAATTATCTAGTGGAACCCGACTGGTTATTCTATACCTACTAACATGGTTCAGTCCACTTGTTAGTGACTTCCTGGACTTGTGCCATGTCTTTGTTTGGCCGCTCGTAGATTTCTTCTAGCCTACTCCTACACCACAAAACATCGCTCGTTGAGGCAGTCGGTGGTTGGTCATACGTACATGGGAACTGCCTCGAAGACGCCTATGGTCGAACACTCAAACCGTACGTTTATCTTCAATTCTTAATGGCCATGTTTCTCAACCGTAAAGTAGGACGGAGCGAACTGATGTAGTAAACCCTTCCTTTGGTTATCAAACGTATATCTCGCCTACACCATAAGTGACGCCACTCGGCGAAATCCAGTTGAGGCTTCTACGTCTGTGCCCTGGCCAAAGCTGCTACCGTGACGTGGTGGTCGGGCTTGCCTATCGTGATGACCCAACCGAGCTATATTGGGCGGTCAGACCAAAAGTCCATAAAGTCACTGACAAGTGAACTAAGTCATGTTGGTAGATGTAGACTACCTGGTTAGGGTCCGTGAGACGATAGTATGTGATGGTTAGAGATTTGAATTGACAATTACTTCTTTGTGCTAATGTGGAATGGCAACCTGAAGTGATTTACCCATGTCCGAAGTTCTACGTTGTAGCCGACTGACTCATTCGAGTTTCTGCAACTCCAACTAAAGTTGTGTACATAAAGATGGTGATTGTTTCCACTACTTTAGTCCAACCACTGTTGAAAATGTAGTTCTCTCAATCTTGATGATATACCAAATGTTCAGTATTTCGCAACTAATTCATTTAGAATGATCGAAGACAGTTCACAGCTTCTTAATTTGTTTACCATAATCTTTCTGACAAAACTGTCCAAGTTATTAGTTCCACATTTTCTTTCTTTTATATGTCTACTAACCTTACTTTTTAGGTTCTGTTTGTTAGAAATTAAATTTATAGGTTTTCAACAGTTTGAATCGAGAAACACCTACCTAGTGGCTCGACAACTTTAAGATCTTGTTGTTTTTAATATTTTCATATATTTTTCAAATTACTTATAAGTAGCTAAGCTTTTATTTACTTATTTTATAAATGTTTCAGGTAAATGAGTTTTCATGAATTGGAGAATTATTATAAATAAAGTGTTAATTGCTCTTTTTTGCATCGAAATTTCCCGACCGAAGCTGCTACCTTGACGTGGTGGTCGGGCTTGCCTATCGTGATGACCCAACCGAGCTATACTGGCTGGAACACATGTTCCTGCAGGTCCTACCATGCCAGGCAGGTCGATTGGAGAACGATGAGACTAAAAGCAGCTACCCAAGGTCTGAGGGCGAAGTCGTACTGCTGACTGCAGAGGGGTGTGACAGCAGTAAGGTGTTTCCCTCGGACAACCAGCATCTGCAGCGATGCTGCCTTCTCACAAGGAAGGAAGGGTTAGAAAAGGTCGGCCCTAAAAATGTCACACCTCCCCTAACTCACGGATTTCCGTCTCCTTGGGTAAGGGTGCCCACTAAGGGCCTTTAAGAACGGAGCTAATCCTCTAAATACCTCTCATAAAAAGGCCGTGCGTGACCGGCCTCAAGCAGTTGTCCCTTGGACTCTGCGGTCACGCACCAACACTAATCCATCTTCCTTTTCAGGTTCGTCAAGAAACAACCTTCCACGGTGTGGGCAGCCGGGAAGTGATAACCGCCCTCATACCCGTAACAGCACACGAGACAAAATTGTTCAAAATCAAATCCTTCCTACATTCCCTAATACCTCTCTTATATCCACAACTAACTCTTCTCACATTCATTTATTACAGTGCACAGCTAATGCAAACGATGCGAGTTTGCGAAACGTCGTTCCTGGTCTCCTTAAACCCCGTTCCAAACTACATGTTGGAGCATTCAATGTACGGACATTGTGTCAAATAGGGCAACAGGCGTCATTAGCTAGGACTTTAGAATCTCGTTCCATCGATGTGTGCTGCGTCTCGGAAACGCGCATACAGGATCCGAGTAGCATCACTCATTTGACCTCACCATGTCAAGACAAAGAAGCAGCTCGATTTACCCTTCGTGTATCTGGTAGCCCTGATGCTGCTTCTAGGGGCCTCGCCGGTGTAGGTATAGCATTGAGTCGTAGGGCAGAACAATCTCTCCTTGACTGGATCCCTGTAGATAGTCGCTTGTGCGCCGTCCGACTGAACGGGACAGTAAGGACTCGGAAAGATAGGGACACTCGCCGTTGCCTCTTCGTCATATCAGCCTACGCCCCCACTGACTGCAGCCCAGATGATGTGAAAGATGAGTTTTACAGAAAGCTTTCGGACCTCCTCCAAAAAGTTAAGCGCTCTGATATAGTTATAATGGCTGGTGACTTCAATGCACAAGTAGGTAGACTGAGTGAAAATGAAAGACACCTAGGTGGATGTTACGGTCTCGCGGCTCAAAGAACAGACAATGGCGACCGTCTGTTGCAACTGTGCTCAGATAACCAACTATTTCTAGCAAACACTAATTTTAAGCATAAGGAAAAACACCTTTTGACCTGGCGACCCCCGAAGTCGTCTCAACGTTGGACACAACTAGATCATATCGCCATCAGCCACCGATGGAGGGGTTCGATAGAAGACTGTCGCTCGTTCTGGGGCACATGTTTAGATTCAGATCATGCCCTAGTGCGAGCACGTATTTGTTTGAGGCTTGCTGGACGTAGGAAAGACACCGTAAGGAAGCCTCTTAGGGCTTTACTTGATGATAATCAAGCTAAGAAAATATTTCAGGAGGAACTAGAAAAACAGTTAGGCGATCATGCAAGTGATTCCCATCCGGAGTCAGGTTGGAATGATATAAAGAAGGCTGTGGAAACAGCAGTGATATCTGCTAGCAAGGTAAACCATAAGGCTAGGATGAAGTCGTGGATTTCAGTCGCACCCACCGAACTGATGGATGCACGAAAACGCATCCCACCTGACTCTGAACATGATGAAGAGCGTACTCAACTTAGGCGCAGACTTATAAAAAGCCTACGTAACGACCGTGAACAGTGGTGGGTGGCGAAAGCAAAAGCGATGGAAAAGGCAGCGGCGATAGGCAACACTAGACAACTTTTCCGCCTTATCAAAGAAACCGGTATTAGGAACCCGAATGTAAGTGAGACTATCTCGGAAAAGGATGGTCTTATTATCCATTCTCAATCTAGGAGGCTGGACCGATGGGCAGAACACTTTAGGGATCAGTTCAACTGGCCTTCAGCCACTCTTCGGTTACCCACGATCTCCAGTCATCCTGAATGGCAAATCGATTTAAGTCCTCCCAGTTTACATGAAGTTGAGAAAGCTATAGGAAATCTAAGGAGAGGTAGGGCGGCAGGTCCCGATATGCTTACCCCTGAGATGTTTAAGGATGGTGGTCCAGTTTTAACGGTTAGACTGACCAAGATCCTAGGTAGAATCTGGGAAATGGACGTAATCCCATCTGACTGGTCTCAGTCGCTAATTGTCCCAATCTACAAGAAAGGACAGAAGTCCTCTTGTGACAATCACAGGGGAATAAGTTTAACTAATATAGTTTCTAAATTGTTAGCCTCGATTATACTTAGACGTCTAACTAGAGCTCGCGAAGAGCAGACTCGAGAAAACCAGGCTGGCTTTCGACCTGGACGTGGTTGTATAGACCACATCTTCACACTGCGACAGGTCCTGGAACACAGACACACATTTAGACGTCCGACAATAGTCGTGTTCCTGGACCTTAAGGCGGCATTCGACTCAGTGGATCGTGAGGTTCTGTGGGAGTGTATGTCATTGAAAGGTGTACCAAAGAAGTACATTAACCTTATACAAGCACTTTACTCGAACACCACTGGTCGGGTGAGAGCATATGGCGAACTGTCATCTGAATTCTCTACATCAAGTGGTGTCCGTCAGGGCTGTCCACTCTCTCCATTCTTGTTCAACTTTGTCGTAGACATCCTCTTAGAGTTAACATTAAGCTCGTCAGATTTTTCAGGGGTTGACCTTCTACCAGGAAAGTCGCTTACTGATCTAGAATATGCCGATGACATAGTTCTATTCGGTGAAGACGCTGACAAAATGCAGAGTCTTCTGACTACCATAAGCAACAATGCGAGCATGTTCGGGATGCGGTTTTCCCCCTCGAAATGCAAAATGTTGCTTCAAGACTGGGTTCCTTCGGCACCTGAGCTAGTGATAGGGAGTGAAGTAGTCGAGCGTGTTGATCACTTCACTTATCTGGGGAGTCTCATCAGTGCTGACGGTCTGGTGACTGACGAAATCTCAGCTCGGATACAGAAAGCTCGATTGGCTTTTGCCAACCTGCGTCACTTATGGCGTAGGCGTGATATCCGTTCGCTAACCAAAGGGCGGGTGTACTGCGCAGCAGTTCGTTCCGTTCTCTTATATGGCTGTGAAACATGGCCGTTAAGAGTAGAAGATGTTCGTAGGTTACTAGTATTCGATCATAGATGTTTAAGAAGCATTGCTCGTATATCGTGGGACAGCCGAGTAAGCAATGCTGTCGTTAGGAAACGAGTACTTGGTAAGGATGGCAGATCAATCGATGAAGTGGTGAAACTTCATCAGTTGAGGTGGTTGGGACATGTGTTACGTATGCCTAACCACCGACTGCCTCGACGAGCTATGTTTTGTGGTGTAGGAGTAGGTTGGAAGAAAGCTAGGGGCGGCCAGACCAAAACATGGCACAAATCCATGAAGTCCCTGACAAGTGGACTGAGTCATGTTGGTAGATGTAGACTACCTGGTTGGGGTCCGCGAGACGAAAGTCATCAATGGTTAGAGACCTTGAACGACATGGCTCAAAATCGTTTGCAATGGCGCAGGTGCATCCACTCTTTGAGCTCTCTCAAATCCTAATCTTCTGGATTAGCCAGCACGTCTACCTTTGTCTTTCTAACCTTATCTCACTGAATTATATTTTTTGAATAATATCTTAAACCCTAGTCTTCTTTATTATAACATTAATACCTCTACCATCTTTATCACCATGGGATTTGATTTGACATTTGCGTCTCTGTGCTAATAATGTGGTATGGCAACATGAACTTATGTACATACGTACGAAGTTCTACGTTGCAACTGACTGACTGACTGACTGCATCGAAATTTCCGAAGTTAATTAAGTTCTTGTTTGTACTATTGTAAACGTCCAAATGATTGATTTTTGTAATTTGCTATCAGTGCAACTCTAAACTAGGATAAAAATATCCATTGACAAACTGGAAGTATCATTTTGGCTGTGAGTTCTGTGGTCCTGTACTTTTCTGACAATCTATATTGAAATTATCAAACTAAAACTTTATTGATCTACGAAGGTTATTGACCTACATAATGACCCATATTGTTTTATTCACAAACTGAAGTTGGAGTACACAAGATAAACGTAATCTTTGCCTGGAAATTTATTATAATACTGATAATAATCTGTTGTAGTGGTGTGGATTTATTAATTGTTTATCTTCTAACGTTTAAAATAGTATTCAATAAATATCATCTCTTGATTTCATTCGTTCCGTCCTAACTACATTTCTCATGTTTACTTTTCTGCTACAATTGATGCTAACATTTCCGCTGCAATGAATTGTTTAGTTTTACATTCTGATGCGAAGTATTGCACTTAAGTCTATGAATATTTGTCCGAAATCTTATATTGTTCGTGAATAATAATTCATTTAGATATAATCCAGTTTCAATCATATTTAAATGACTCAAAGCGAAATGTATTGTCAGTTTTTTTAACACTTTACTTGTGTTTATTCTTTTTTTTATTTATGAAATAATTTCAGTAATCAAAATATTAAGACTTGTTGCAGTTATTCAGTGTTATTATTTCGTTTTCACTTTCCATTCTCTATTCCCTTTATCTGTTTCCCCTCGTATATACTACATGGTATTTCCATGTTATGTTGCGTTATGGATCGATTTTTCCGGTCTCCTCAAGAAGATGTTTAGAATCTGTTCTGAATATCAGTTTAACTTCAATTATACTTGATTTTATCTCGAATTAGTGAAATCGTTTTTGCGAAATTTCATCAACTAACATCTAGTCAATGAAAATACTGCAGACTTTGCGGTTAAAATCCGTGGGTTTATGTCAATCATTAATAACTACTATAAAGTTCGACAAGCCTAATGTATTATGTAATTTTTGTATCATATTTCAGAAGTATTTTCTATAGTATAGAGTTTTTGTTTTCACTTTTACTAGAGTTATCCAGTGGAGGCATTGAGTACTGCTCAACAAGAAGTGTTACAACATATGCGTGAACTTGGTTTAGCTTATCAACGAAAGCGCACAGCTCCTCGTTTTTATGTAACTCCCCTTGCGTTGGATGTGGCTGGAGGTCATACTACTTTCTTGGAAAGTAGATCAGGTGGATGGGGTTCACAATTGGGAGTTATTCCAACTGGTGTTTCGAAATCAGATTCTACCGATATCAATAAAACGTTTTCACAAATTGCCGTTTCGAATTCTTCTGATGTTGGTTATATTTTGCTAGAAACTAATTTTCGACTTTACGCCTATACAGGTAGGTTAGCAGTTTATGTTGTTCCACTTCTTGGAAAATATTGTTATGTTAAAGAAAAATTAATTGTATTCCGATTCTTCATTTGATAGGCGATTACGGAAAGTTATTAAACGATTGTGGTAGATAGTTAAACGTGTTTCACTTAATCAGTGTTCAATGTGATCAATCGTTATTAATTATGCAAACATCTTTATATACGAAATATTCGCATTCCATTTTTGACTTATAATGATTATCATTCCTATTGTTTGTGATTTGTTTAGTACTGTATGCATACATGTCAGATTTTATTTCCTTTCTTAGATTCACCGCTTCGTACTGCTCTTCTTAGCCTATTTAGCAAAATACGTGCACGTTTTCCTAATCTTGTCGTTGCTGATATAACTCGTGATTCAGTTCGTGAAGCTTTAATTCGTGGAATAACTGCAAATCAGGTAATTTGTAATAACCCTACCATTTTAATCTCAACTAACTTGATTGCTTTGATAGATCCTGTCTTTCTTAACAGCCAATGCACATCCAGATATGTTACTTAAGGTAAGTTTCATTTATTGTATTCTCTTAATAAGAAACAATTTTTTATGCTCCGTTAAATTCTAAAAAATAAATAATTAGCCTTATAAGCATACATGGATAGTAGCAATGCAGGACATCCAGTCGATGAGCCTCAAATTGAAATAGTTATCCATGTGTAAATTGTCAAGCATGAGATTTCATAATTTTAACTGCATCTCTAAGGTTACACATATTTGATAGCAAGTTGGGATTAAGTTTTTATAAAAGAAATATGTTAATAATCTGTATAATAATTGGTTTTCAACAGGTTTTTAAAATAAATTGTCTAGTTTGTAGAAATCACTGATTCCTGTTTGATATTTAGAGGCAGCCAGTAAGGAGCCTTGGACTGGTGTACATTTACTAGAAATATATATATATATATACCTTTTCAAGTGCATTAATTTTCTCTGTAGATTTCAAAATCCTATCACTCACAGTTATAGACCGTTATCACTCAATAGTTCATGCCTAGTTGTCGTTTTTTCTGTCACTGTCTTCCAGGCGAATGATGCAAACTGCAACTTAATGAATACCTAAGGCAATCACACAAATTGACAGCTTTATGATAATATGACATTCTAATCCTGTTTGTTGAATATTATCGACTCTGTCGACTACTTATATTACGCATCTCATATATTCTGTTAATCAATAAGAATCAGCCATTACAACAAGTATTGTCGGATAGCTATTTTGTATAATTTATGTCATCAAATATTAATCGAATGTAACATTTGAAGCCCTGTTACTCAAAATAAACTTCAGTCGCAAATTGAAACCTTACCAGTCAAATGGGATTATATCCGGCTCTCATACTCACTAGCATATCAGTCGACTTATCTACCAAAAGAGAACCACGATCGTCGAAAACCTCCGAAGTCAGTCTATCAAGCACTTCTCATGCTCTTCAATTTACATGCCTTCTTAAGAGTCTTGTATTTACTACCCTTTCGTGCTCAATAAGAGTATAAATTATTTGAAGAATAGCTAAGGGCAAGCGGGATTGTCCCCCCACTAAACTCTTATGGCTGTGAAACATGTCCAGTAAGAGTAAAAGATATTCGTGTGTTACTGGCTTTCGACCATAGTTGTCTTCAAAGCATTGCTCGTCTATCCTGGGGCAATCGAGTAGGCAATGGTGTTGTTAGGATATGAGTATTAGGTAAGGATGGCAGATCAGTAGACGAAGCATTAAAACTGTATCAGTTGATGTAGTTGGGACATGTGTTACGAATGTGCAACCACTGACTGCCTCGACGAACTGTTTTGTGGTGTAGAAGTAAGGTGAAAGAAAGCTAGAGGCGGCCAAACCAGAACATAGCAGAAATCCATGCAGTCACTGACAAGTAGACTTTGTTCATGTTGGTAAGTATAGACTACCTTGTTGGATACGCAAAACTATAGTAACTGATGCTTCGAGACCTTGAACAACATAGCTCAAAATCGTTTGCAGTGGCGCAGGTGCATCCACTGTTTGTGTTTTTCCAAATTTTAATCTTCTGAATTCCTCATCACCATCAGCATTCTCTTTTTAAGTTTGTTTCAATGAATTGTACTTCTTGAATAATTTCTTCAAACCCTAATCTCTTCGATTACTACTAATACCTCTACTACTATGGGATTTGAATTGACAATTGCGTCTCTGTGCTAATGTGGTATGCCAACTTGAACTGGTGTGCGTTCGTACGGAGTTTTGCGTTGCAACACCCATCGTTTTAGTATCTTAGACTGAGAATGGATTATGGTCGTTTTTTTCTCAAATATTCTCACCAGCAACTGACGCGTTGCAGTTTTTCAAGAGTTTTAGTAGTTTTCGATGTTACTTTTAAGGTCTTTTTGCATACGTTTTTGCACCGCCTCTCACGGTCGTTCCTTAGACTTCTTGTCTATTTCTAAGTTTTCTTCACTGTTTATTTTTCTATCATCCTGCTTTAATGACTTTCCAAGCGTTTATCGGTTAAAAGCTTAGCTTGTACTCGTTTTCAAATTGAACATGCATTAACTTCACTTAATGTTTTTTAATTGTTCTTCAGAATCCTATATTGCCGCCAACTTTAACCGATCAAATACGACTGTGGGAATTAGAACGAGATAGATTTCTATTTCAGGAAGGCTGTTTGTATGAACAATTCTCTCGGAATACAGATTTTGAAATGGTTCGGGATTATGCTAAAGTAATCGTGATTATTCTTTTCTTGAATGATATATTTTTTTCCCTACTTATAGAGTATTGGTGTTTTACTCTGGGAAAATCCTGAACGAAGACTGATGGTCGTATCTAAATCAGGTCATGAAGATGTACGGAAATTTTGGAAACACAAACGTCCATCCTAAAACTTTGTTATTTATAGCGCACTTTCTTCCTACCACTCCAGTTTTTTATGTACATAAACAATAAGCATTTTCACTTCTATTTCTACTGTATTTATTAAATAAATAAATTTTTTTTAGTAAAACTACATAACTCTTTATTTTTTAAAACATAAAATGCAATATCATATCGAAATAAAACCACTATGGATATTTATCTTTCAGAGGTTAAACATAAATGTTTATCCTCCGCTACGTGTATACTTAAGTTTCCTTGAACAGTTAAATATACAATATACAATAATAATAATTATCATTATTAATATTATGCAAGATATACTGTTCAAGCGTAAAGACTATATACGTGAAATCAAACCAAATTTCTTGTCGACTTCCTTCAATGTTTAGCTTTTATTTTAAGAAATTCTAGTAGAAATAAGACTTCTTTAGCTTTCATTAGTTGATATGTTGCATTAACTAACTACAGAGAATATGTATTATAAAATAAATTATCATTTTAGTATATGAAGTTTTTGTTAACTAATCAAATTAAACTACAAATCAATCTCAATAATTCAATGTATTCCACTAATTAAATGACTAATCGAAGTGAAATTATATTTTCACATTCCTATTACTAAACTTATAAATCATCACCTATCCGATTGAAGAAATTGGACTTTTCATTTTATATTTAATAACGTAAAATATTAGATTTTATACAAATATAATTTTCCTTATCACTACTTATCGTAACAGATGTACATCATAGATTGTAGGTAGAATGGAATGAATTCATTGAATATTTTTTTAAATTTTCATAAATAAAATGTCATTGTACAAAAATATATACAGAAATGCTTTAGTTAACTGGGTTTGCTATAACCAATCATAATTATGCTACATTCATCAAAGTCTAGTTTATCTATTATGAATAGAATGTTGTAAAACAGTTTTTCGTATACAACTAATTGATCAACAAAAAAAAACACGTGGAAACTTATTGATAAGTTGAATAAATATTGAAAATCATTTAAAAAATAATCATAATGATGATGATAATAATAAAATAATACTACTGTTTGATATTCAGACAAAACAAGTTTAAATTATTGTAAAAATCAAAATACGTAGGTGTTATAACGTATACGAATGCCGCCAAATCAAGAATGCAAAAAGTTAGTATATAACTTTAACAATGAGTCAATAATTAGGAATCCTTAAAAAGTAAATAAATTACTGTGGATTTTTCGAATACTGCTTAATACATTTATAAAATTTTGTTTAAAATATAATTTGATTTTTATGATATTCAACATAACTCATGTTATAAAAATATTTGCAATACTGGCAGAGAAATTATATTGCTTAATACTAAATTTTACGCTGTCTTCATGATGATTTTGTCAAAATTTGTTCTTTAAATTAACTAAAGCGCGCTACACCATGCTTTTGAAACATCCATGGTTAAGGACTATTTTTTTTCTGACAAATATTCATGAAACAGTCGTTTAAATCAATCTTGTGAGTTCAACTAGTAAAATAACTTGAAATAATTTTTGTGGGATTAATTACAGATTAATATCTTCAGAAAATATTCAACTATACTGTATAGTGGTTAAAAATGATTATCGTTATTTGCTTAATATTCTATTTAGTTAGTTATAATTTACAGTAAATTAATTCGATTTAAAAATCTCAACAAAAAAAATGCAAATCTAAAGTCAGTACTATACATTATAACAAATTAAATTGATATCTTGGTACGCTTGGAATTACTACGAGTTCATCTTAGTCGGTAAATGATAGAGTTCGTCACTTAGTATGCTTGAGGCTATTACGAGTTTACCTTAGTCGATAAACGCGAACGAGACAATTACCAGCGTCCAGGTAGGCTACCTTGAATCCGAGGCTGAAGTAAAAAGGCTTTGTTAGCGTAGAAAGTATATTCTACAAACACCCGGCAATCACAGTACAATCAAGCATACAACTCTCGTTTATTTATACAACATAGAAACGTCCTTGAGCAGGTTACGAAAATAGCACATTAAAATACACAGCAGCTAATCACAGCCATGAATTTTCTTGGTGGGAATTGAAATCTCAAGGTCAACTGATCAGCCCATGCTACCAAACGTGAAAACCAAAATAAGGCATTATCAAGCGGATTTTGGGAATCTAACATCCCCAACAGTAAACGAGAGCCAAGACAAATGACCCAGTGACACGATAGACTACTGTAATCCGAACGTCCCATTAATTAGACGAAGAAGTCTTGATATGGTGTAGGAAGTGTCTTCTACAAGCACCCAGAAAATATATGGTTGACAAGCACACAAACTGATTTTATTTATACATGACAGAAATGTCTTTGGGAGGGCCACAGAAATAGCGTACTTAAATAATACATCAACCAATGACAGTCAAGAATTTTCCGGGGTCGGAAATGTTGGCTCAAGGTCAACAGATCAGCCCATGCTCAAAAACACAAAATCCATAATTAGGACATTTATCAAGTGAGTTCCAGGGATGTAATGTCTCCAACATATCTATCTGATTATAACATAACAGTGAAACGAATATCTCAATGTTTCAGTGCATACAGTCGATCGTTCAACAAGAACTTTGTCGATATTTGATTTACGAGATTTCTTAAATGAATCAAATTATAATCATTCTTACATTAACTTGTATTCTGTAAGAAATGAAAATAAAAAATTTCACTAATCAATAATGCGAATCAATATAATTATTAGGTAATCTTACTAATGAATCCAGTCATTTGACAAATAATTAATCAATTTCACAATTTGATTAGTTTATGTAGAGTTAATGAGTTTTTTCATTGAAATCATATTGAAACATTGAAATGAATGTATGTTCAGATGATTTAAAAAAAACCAAACAAAACAAATTGTTTTATTTTATCAAACAACCTAGGCCAAGCGTGTTTTTGGTATGGCAACTTGAACTGATGTATTTACATACGAAGTTCTATGTTACATCTGTTTGACTGATCAATTGACTGATCTATTTAAAGTTGTTTTTTTTGCTGAAATATAATCAAATTTAAATTAGGCAAAAATTTTACCGTAATATAAAATCCTTGTGTCATGAAAACATATTGACCGGTACTGTGTAACATAAACTTTATATGAATTGATTTTTTGTTCATTACAATACGAGGTGGAGTATCATATAAAATGTAGTTTCTGTATGCTTTAATAGAACACTGATTAAAAAGTGCATGAAATTTATCAAATCAGTTAGTTAGCTAGTTAGTTAGTTATTGAGTTATTTTTGTAATATACTAAAAAGTATAAATTAATTAAAATGAATCCGATTTCACTGTAAACTGTTTAACATTTATATGATTTATTAAATAATACAATAAAAAACAAAGATTTAAAATTCAAACACTCATTAATGCTTGTCTTCTGTGTAATTCAGCTAATTAAAAATAATTCTTTTTTTTCAATGTACACAACTAGTCAGTCTATTGTTTGTTTATGTACAAATTTTCATGATATTGAAGTCAACTTTGTGTACTATTTTTGTTGATGATGTTATAGCTAGGCTACTTACTTACAACAGTCTATATTCTTTTAATAACATATTTTGGATAATTATTTATAATTTTATTGAATATGCCCTAACTGAGTGCATTTGTCTTATAAACATCGAGAGATACGATCATTGCGTACACTTGATGACCTAAAAACGTATTCTGTTACAATACAAGAGCACTTCTATTTCATTTATACTATAAGTCAATTTTTCATGTAACACTATTTATATATTGACCTTATTTTCTATTGTCCTGTAACAACTATTGATTTAAACTTTTTATCAAAGAAATATATGTAAATGTAAGCGAATTGATAAATAACTAAGAAGTCCAATAAAATATATTAGCTATTGAATTCATGTTACCTGGGTGAAATAAATCTAATATCTTTTTTATTCATTTGAAATCATCAATCAATCATTGTTAGACCACCATTAGAAACATGGAAGCACTGGACGGCCGTTTCGTCCTGGTATAGGACTCATCAGCACTGCGCATCCACGACTCCTGCCCCTGGCAGGATTCAAACCCGGGGCCTTCGGTATTGTGCGCGAACGCCTAACCATTGGACCACTGGACCGGCACCCGACGGTGTCAATGTCTAACTCTGATTGATCTAGGGATTTTTGCGCCACCTCACCCTGCTGATGAGTCCCATACCAGGACGAAACGGCCGTCCAGTGCTTCCAGGTTTCTAATGGTGGTCTAACAATGATTGATTGATGATTTCAAATGTGTAAAAACACAGACCTCCAAAACTCTGCCCCAAAATGTCCCTTTTATTTCTGAGTTTGTTGTTGATAAAGAAAAAAAATCTAGATGAATTTGATCATATCCTAGCGTAAATAGTTAGTTCTACTGAGGTTTGGATTGAGGAATAACTGTCTACGTAGGTTAAATACGCGTCTTACCCAGTTGAAATCAAAACAAATGATTGGGTAAATGACGATCCTAATATTCATCATATATATAAATTTGCATCATTATTACCTAAACAGATATTACCACTCAGTTATTCCATCAACAATTGTTTCAATTAATCAACAGCAACAAATAAATGATATTCTATCCCTCTTGAATGGGTCAGATTCGTTCGACAGATAATATCTAGTTGCTTTATAACACAAAGTGTTTCCTCCTTTTCTGGAAGAGTGCTTCAATTCACAATCAAAATGCACAATTCCAGTCAAAAGAGGAACAAATCAATATGGCTGTCGTCATGACTAAGAATCAGCTTAAACAACATAAATGCAGTTCAGAAGGAAACATTGAAACCCAGTAAAGGCAAAAGAAATAGAAACTATAATAAAATACATATAGTATCATCTCAAAATAGAATCGAACAGACTCACAAAATGTACAACTGAATGAATCAATAAGGACAAACTGCAAATGTATACATGGAGAGATTTTCACCAACAAAGCCTTCAAAATGGATCTTACACTACTTTCAATC